GGTGCAAAAGAATTACAAGTAATCTGGGTTCCGTGGCGTGATAATACATGCGTTTGCGGAGTCAGAAAATATGTTTCGTTTCCTCGTATTACTGGAAGTTGTTCGTAACATTCGTTAGTCCGTGCCAATTTTACTTCGACCGGCACACATTTTACCATGTGTATTACCTCTCCGGCCAATAGTGCCATGTACCCCGGTCCTTTTATAAAATGATAAGCGAAGATATCGGGTGACGAAGCGGCTATAGCTAGTGCGTTCTGTATCGTTTGGTATTCAAGTTGACATTGTTGTAATAATATATTTCGATACAATTGATTAATCTGAGTAGGATATGTCTTTCTACGTTCACGAATTTCGAGTTTATGTACGAAAACATATCTGTGTTTACTGAAATAAACGCAGAGCTTTTGAAAACTTCGCCACCAGGCGATGTTTCGACGATTAGTAATTTTGGATGTTCGGTCCTGATAAGCGTGTGTCCACAGGCGTCGTATGTTCCAGTGCGAGTTAAAGAAAAAATCATGCTTGGCGTGCTGATAGAATAAACCGTCTGTGATTGTTCGTTTGTTAAATCGAGTATTTTGTCGGCATATCCATTGTATAATACGCCGTAGTCGGAAAGTTTGCAATGATCGACAGGCAAGGGATCCCAGAAGGTATCTCCTCCTTCTATATCCGTACAATGAGTAGAGCTTAGTTCGCAGCCTACTCCTGATCGGAGATGTACGCGATTAGTATTTATTCGTACCTCGGCGATATAATCTTGCAAGGTTATTTTAAGACTGCCTAGCACGATGACATTTCCCCAAGTTCCATACGGGTCAGAGTAAGCGCTGCCGGAGCATCCGCCGTCATTGTCAACGTGGCCGGCTAGAACTATTGGTCGTGATGCGATCTGATTTGATTTTAATCCTATTATACGAGTTCCAGCCATTTCGAAGGTTCCATAGGTGTGCATGTGTTGCATGCATCTCGTGTTACGTCGGCTATGTATGAAAATTGTCCGTTGTGTACATCCAAGGAATGCGAAAACATTCCACATTTCTTTACTGTACGGTCTATCTCGACTTTACATTGTATTACTTTTACGGAATTAAAATCATTGAGTTGAAGTAATTGTACATAAACTTTGCTAGAGTTTAGTTCTGTGGGGAAATGTCACATTCTTCAATGTTTATCAACGATAATGTAGTTAAATTTGCTGCTGCGGAGCCACAGTCGTATCCTATTATTCCGTAAGTTCCCTGAGTCCACATCATTAACATAATTATGGCGATTATTCTTTTGATGCAGCTATCCATTATCTGAAATGTCGATTTGATTTGTTTAATTATTGTGGGCTGGTCTAATGTGAGAAATTCGCACCCCAAATTTTGGGGTGAACGATGCGACTATTTTTCTTTATTTTAATTTTAACATTGTTTCTATTTAGTATTTCCAATACTTCGTGAGGACCGGTGTATTGGTCTCCAAATTTTCCAGGTTTTGGCCCTTTTAATAAAAATACATGATCTCCAGGCTTGAATATCTGTGGATTAATTTTCTTATCGTAATGTTTTTTCGATTTAACTTTAGTTTCTACGACGTTTTCGCGAGCATTTGTTTGAATTGCATGGAGTTGTGTAACTAAATTTATTAAGTAATCATCATAATTAGCTAATTTGTCTTCAGGGTTTAAGAGCTCATTTGATGGTACTCTTGCTATTTTACCGAACACCTATTCGTATGGAGTATGTTTCGTGGCCTCGTGGATGCTAGTGTTGTAATTAAACATGGCTAAGCCGATCCATCTGTCCCATTGTTTCTGTTCGTTTGCGCATTGTTTCAAATATTCTCTTAATGCGTGATGTGATC